AATCGGATTGTGGAACGCAAGAGGATTGGTTAAAAGCAATGACGAGCTGAGACTTTTCCTTGATGCTAAATCAATTGATGTGATGTTGGTCACGGAGACACACATGCGCCCAGGCCTTAAAATTTATACACCTGGATACAACCAATACTACGCAAATCACCCCAGTGGTACAGCGAAAGGCGGATCTGCTGTGCTGATAAAATCTAACATTGTTCATGACATCACTGAACCCATTTCAAATAATAATATTCAATCGGCTAGTTTGAGTTTGATGACAAACATCGGAAGCGTCATAATATCATCAATCTATCTTCCTCCTAACGAGCCCTGGAGTGAAAATGATTTTAAGGTACTACTTCAGTCCCTGGGAAACCGGTTCATTGCAGGAGGAGACTTTAATGCAAAACACCAATGGTGGGGAAATTCGCGGAGTTGTTATCGTGGAAAACGGCTGCAAGAGGCCATCGCAAGTGGTACTTGGCAAGTCCTAGCAACCGGAAAATCAACTTTTTATTCATTCAACACCCTGGAGAGGATAAGCTGGATAACAGAACACTGAAGCTCCTACCCAAAAAAGCTCTCCTATTTATAGTGCTGATCCTAAACAGTATGCTCAGGCTGGGACACTTCCCAAACATCTGGAAGACAGCGCAAATAAAAATGATCCCAAAGCCTGGAAAGAGTCCTAGTGAAGTAGATGGGTATAGGCCAATAAGTCTTCTTCCTGCCTTAGGAAAGATGGCCGAAAGAGTAATCCTTGACCGGATCCTGCAACTTGAAGCAGTCAAACAAAGAATCCCAAACTGGCAATTTGGATTCAGGAGAGGTCATGGTACTCCGGAGCAGCTTCACCGTGTGGTCAATTTTATCCTGGACGCTTTTGAACACAAGAAGTATGCAGTTGCTGTCTTTATGGACATAAGGCAAGCGTTTGACAGAGTCTGGCATGACGGACTACTATTCAAACTTAGAAGCGTTCTCACTCCACAATTGTACCAGATTGTCAGCAGCTTTCTGCGAGATAGAAGCTTTAGGGTTGATGTTGATGGTATTAAATCGTCAAAAAGACCAATATGTGCAGGCGTGCCTCAAGGTAGCGTTCTCGGCCCTACCTTGTATACTCTGTTCACAGCCGATATGCCCTCACATAGCGACATCACAGGAGTAAACCGGAACAATGTACTGATAGCCACGTATGCCGACGATACAGCCGTACTGACAAGTAGTACCTGCATCAATAAAGCTACAGAGTCATTGCAGCAGTATGTGAGCAGTTTTGAAGACTGGGCGTGCAAATGGAACATTGGAATTAACGGGAGCAAATGCGCAAACGTTACGTTTACCACAAGACCTTTAAACTGTGGTCGCATTAGCATGCAGGGTTCAACACTACCGCACAAAAGAAGCCACAAATATCTGGGCGTAGTGTTAGACAGAAGGCTTACATTTAATATGCACACCACGATGGTCAAAAAGTCTGTTTTGTCCAAAAGCGCAAAAATGTCATGGCTTCTTAAGCCGGCCAATAAATTGTCACTATACAATAAAGTGACAATTTATAAATCAATACTCAGCCCCATATGGAGATATGCGCTTCAAATCTATGGGATTGCGGCAAAAACAAATCTCAATAAAATAAGAGTTGCACAAGCAAAAATCCTCCGGCAAATTTGCAATGCTCCCTGGTATATGCGTACCAGAGACATTGAAAAAGATCTCAGGGTCCCCAAAGTTGGAGACGTTATGCAAAAGGTAGCTGCTAGCTACCTTGCAAGACTCGAAGGCCACCCAAACCCTTTGGCAAGAAGACTTAAGAAAGCAGCCAGAAAAAGAAGACTGAAGAAGTGCCATCCACAGGACCTCCCTGCGAGGTTCCTATAAAAATGTATCAAGTCAAATTGCATGTGATTTACGTAAAAATTGTTATTGTTTGTTGATGTTTTTGTTAATTGTTATATTGTTATTGTTATGAAATTTCTGTAGTGTGTACTGTAAATAATTGTGTCTTTATGTTCAACTTGTTAAGCTGCCAATTAGGTAGTAAAAAGCCTGTTTAAATAATATAAAAAAAAAAAAAAAAAAAAAAAAAAAAAACTTGTTGCCATGCAACTAGGTAAACTAAGTTATGCTAGGCATGTGTGCGGTGTGCAGTAACAATTTGGTGAGTGTAATTAACATAATTTGTAGATGAGCGTCTGGCCTCGGCAGCTGCACTCGGGGTGGGCCGAAGTATACTTGCCACGTGTGGCCCATGTCCAGGCAATTAATTGTGTGGGCGGGGACCGGGGGAAATAGCCATTTAATTTATGTGGTCGAATAAATGACTTGACTGATTTTCATATTAATTGGCTGCTGCTTTGAGCGCACAACTTGTCGCTGACTCGAGATACACAAAATTTAGCAGTGTCAAGCGAAGAAAGCAAAATTAAATCGGATTTGTAAGCTCGACCGACTGCATAATTCTCGCTCATGAAAGTTATTTAAACAGGCAGTTGAGCTGATTTTGATGTGGGTGACATAGTAACTAATGATTTATAGGATTATCTAGGTACAAGGTCCACAGTAATGAGAATGCATAATTTAACGAATTCTGGTGTGAAATTGATCAAGATGTATTATAGCCATTTTTACTGGCCTGGAGCAGATCTGCTTATTGCTTTTTTTCATTCATTTGGAAATAGAGAATCTACCTCAAACAGAGTATAGAGTATAGTTTATAGTATAGAATATACATATTTTATGAAAGACAGTCTGTAGCGTTAATGTCATACAGACTTATTACAGTTATGTGGACACCAGGACGGGCATTCTATAATACCAATATGCTCTACTAAATTCATTAACGAATATAAAAACACAAGGATGTAAAGGGCCATGGAAATGTGGTTTGCGGTTGCTGCGGTCCGCTCGCCACTGCTAGCAGGAATCTGTGGCGTTTGCAGGCACCAATTGAGGAGTGAGTTGAGGCGTCAAGTGCTTAAATTGCCAAACAAAACACGCCTCCCACACCCCCCCACACACACAGGGGAAATGCCAAAAACATAAATCAGCAGTGGCAAGGGCAAAAAGTTTTGCGTAGCTGCCACAGATTTTAAGGAGTCGCCGCTCCTGCCGTAGCTAATGAGACGCACAAGCGGGCTGTGCGCGCTGTTGTGTATAAAATTGGAAATTAATATTCAATTATGGCCAAAGCTATTGATTATAGGGTATGAGAGGCTGCTGTGTATTTATGTGCCAGATCAGGTGGCAACAACATAAATCTATCTTCTTCATACGCGACTCGACTCAACTCAACTCAACTCATCAGCGAAGCCGAGCACGTTACGCCTTGCGACTATGTACCACATGTCGTATGCGTTATGAACTGCCTGCGGCCGCTTAACTCGTGGCAGAACTATGGCGCCAGCTTGTCTTGGCCTGGACAGCCATTCGCAGAGTTCGCACCCATTTTGAATAATTTAATGCGTTATATAAAATCCAATGTGCAGCCGCACATTTATAATACACACACTCGCATAATCATATATACATATGTGTGTGTGTGTGTGTGTGTGTCGAAGCTCTTCAGCTCAGCTACTTGGCCCAGCTGATGCTGAAGCTGTGCCACTTTAATGCGTTTTTAATTGTTGCCACATACACGCACTCAGACACACACACACACATATACGCAGGAAGTGTCCCTTTAATGAGTTACAGTCAGTTTCATTTCCCCTGCCAGCAGCTGCTATATTTTAAATGTTTCTCATTAAAGTTCGGGAAAAAAGGACCATGAAATACTCTTGTCATACATCAACTTAAAATTACAAGTAAATTTAACACACAAAAGAAATGCAGAAATTTTTATGATGATAGCTAATACCCTGGGATGATTGAGATTAGATGACTCTTAATATATTTTAATATTATTAAACAAATAATTAATGAATTTCTAGAAAACCGATTTTGTAAAGAAATTTTATGAATACCCTTGCTGATGTGATAATGGTGTCAGATAATGTGACAGTTATAGTTAGACGGAGAACTGGTTGTCCGATAAATAAATAGAAATTCTCGCACATGTATAGTTAAACAGATTTGGTTTACTAGCTAACTATAGCCGGTTAAAATTATGCAGACTAAAAACCTTACAATTTATACACATCAGACGGGAATACATATATCTAATATATCTGTATAACAGTGTGATTCGAATTTTATATGGTAATTAAAAATGTAAAAGTATTTCAGTGGCAACATATTCACTAAAGAATGCTCAGCATATTTAGGGATACAAGGAATAATGTAAATATTTTCATAAATATTACATGGTTAAAACTGGAGTAGCTTACCAAGAGAAATGCATATACTCGTCTAGCAGTTGAGAGAAGAGTGTAAGAAAAAAGCAAAGGCAGTCAACAGTTAAGCGAGTTAATTAATTTTAACTACGCCTTCAAAGTAGGTTGCTCGGCTAGAGAATTACCCGTCGCCCCCTTCCATGAGTCTTTGGACCCAGCCACAGTGGCGGCATAAAAATTGTTGCCCATCGTGATACCCCATGAGCAAATTTTGTTTATGTATTTTCCGCGGCATATTTATATGCGTTTGCTTGAAAGGCAGTTGGCAACAAAATTGGCGATAAATCAACTGATAATGTCAGCGCATTTAACGACAGCGACATGGTAGCAAAGGTGGCGCGGTGCCTGGCCCCAGGGCTGGGGTTGTCGGCGTGACGGGGGTCGGGTTCATTGCGGTTGCCAACAGCAATATTTTGATAAACTTTGTCGGGAAACACGGCCTGGCGTGTGGAAAGGCCTCGGAATGGGTACAAATCAGATGACAACATGACAGTCGTCACAAGTTTTGGGTTCTCGGCTTTCGTCAGAGCCCAATCAGCGACCCCGCCCACTTTGGGCTTTTGCATAGCAAATGAAGGTGCTGATGAAACAAGAATGGGAAATTGTAGGCGGCAAAGTTTTGCATACTAAATATCTACGACAAACGCTCTAATTAAAGCGAATATCTGACTGGGAATAGAAACAGGTTTATTTATAGAACTCCGACAAAATAAATTAAATTATTCTATTTACGTAAAAGAAATTTAAACCCAAATGCAAAGCTAAATGTTTTTTTGGTCTAGCCAATAAAATTGTATAGCTTAGAATAAGGTATTGCAAATCAAACACCTTCGTAATATTGTAAAGGCATAAATTAAACCCTTTTTGACCCACCCTTCACATCTTGACATCTTGATTTTGACCTTCTCTGGGGGCACTTATCTCCCATTGTGAGCATTTAGTTCCTTCGCTCCAGTTTTACAGCTCTGCTACTGCGCTCAATGATAGCGCATATTTGATCAAATGCCGATTCCAGGCTTTCAATAAACTTCTTGCCTTCAGCCTGATTCTTATACGAGGTCACAATAGCGCCTGCAAAATCGTTTTGAATGGAGTAGCTGCAAAAATGTTAAAACAGTTAAAGATAGACTGAACGCAAGAAACGTGCGTATGTACGAACCCAACGCCGAAACCATCTTTAACTACGGGGCCGAAGGAACCGGCGACCACAGTGTCGGTGCCCAGCGTGGAGGTGCTTATTATATTGTAGTTGATGCGTTTGTAGGCTTCAGTCTCGAATAGCACCGGTTGCGGCAGCCCTTCCAGCTGTGCCGTGTGCCTTAGAGCAAACAAATGGCGATCAAAGCCCTGGCCCATTGCGGCTTCCTTGGTAAGCTGGCCGTGCACGCGGCTGCATCTATCAATCATGGCGCGCAGCTCCCCGGCGCTGAGCTGCTTTTGTGCTGGCTGCAGCACAGCCTCACAGAAGTCTTTGGTCGCCATTGTGCAGGGCCGCATCGTCTCGGTTCGGCCATGCCGAAACGCTGAAGTGCTGCAGGACTCGTAGGTGCCCACATAGCGATCAAATGCCTGCCGATAGGCCAACTGAAAAGAGAGCTGTATGATGGAATCCGGACTCAGGCCGTGTTGCTTGCAGGTGCCTTTGTTGAGCTGCCTGTATTGCAGATAGTTCATGTCCAGGCTATCAACGATGGTGGCATTTTTGGCATAAGCGGCTTCCACTGCTGCTTTAGTTCGGTCGTCAATTTCAAAGTTCAGCGGACGGACATTCATACCATCTCCATGAGCTGGCGTATGGGGAGTGGCCTCCGACACGAATGGCTGCTTCAGCATGTCCCTGTAGATCTCGTTGAAGTAGCGCAGCACAGCGACGCCATCGCCCCAAGAGTGCTCAAAATTTAGGGCAGTGACGCCGTCGGCGCTGATCAGCAGTGATATGGATTTGTCAAACCAGCTGGAATATGAGGAGGAATGTGAATTAAAACTGTATCCGCCAGCGTAAGATAACCACTTACCGATTCGTTGCCTTGCCCGCCAGCTGGTGCTTTAGCATGGGCACAGGGTCAGCCTCGTTGAAGAGGCCATCTTCCTCAGAGTCCAGACAAAGGCAGAACAGTGCCGCATCCACCTCACGCTGCAAGAGATCAGCGTTTTTGGGATTGCTTACTAGATGTTCTCGCGTCTGGGCCCACTCATCACGTTGCGAGGTGGTGAGCACACCCAACGGCACTTTGGCTGGCTCGCGTTGCGAATCCGTTTCAAGAATGCTCTTTAGGCGACCCAGTATTACGCTGGGGCTCTCAATGTAGCCGCTGGTGTCGAGTACATTCATGGCATACATGTTTCCGCGTCGCATGACAAGAATGTGCTTGGATTCCGGCGATTGCACCAGCTCATCCTTGCCCAGCTTTGGAATGCGGCTGGTGCCAAACAGACGGCTGTATTGGCTCATGTCCAGAGGAAAGGCCTTGAAGGCATACGAAGCGTACGTGGCAAAGGCCTTGGGCGCCACGGCCATCCAGCGACGATAGTTGTCCGTGTCGGTCTTCTTTGGATTCATATGATAAACCTCAGGCTCCAGATTATTGGCTTGCAGCGATCGCCAGAAGCGAAGTGAGCTAATTATTAGATTCGTGGCACGCGTCACCTGTGGCTGGTACTCAGGTCGCGGGTCGCCACGCATAACAAGCAGCGGATTGTAGTTGAGCGGCAGTGGGGCTCGATCGGAGAGGTACATATCGAACCAGGGCTGCGAGATATAGCTGGTGTGCTTGTTGGCTGCATCGCGCTGCTTCAGCTTCGCATGCAGCTCCATGCCGATGCCTTGGCGAAACTCTTCGACCACTTGTTGCGTCTCTCGGTGCTCATCAGGAGTGAGTATGGGCTGCACGGAGGCCAGAAAGCGTTCGCAGGTCTTTTCCAGCAGCGGTATTGGCAGCCGGGGTAGAGAGCGTTGAAAGTAGAGCGTTGGCAACTTTGAGTTTTGCAAGTATTGGTAATGAGTGCCATGCGTCGTGGTTGTTGTGGCATGCCGCGTCGCAGCCGCAGCGGCGGCAAAATGACTTTTATTTACTTTTAATCGAAACATTCTTTTCTATTAAAGCCGGTAATTGAAAACAAAGCGCAATGCAAGGCAAAGTCCACTAGTTGACGAAAACAAAGCGCAGCAACAACAACAAACTGCGGAACACATCTGTTTGGTAGATTTAGGTATTTTTGGTATTTGACCAGATCACAGCTGATCGCTATCGTAATGTCTTATCGATATATCGCATGTGGGCGCAATTAATCGAAGTCGTTACAATGAAAATTCAGTTGATATTTGAAATTGAATTTAATTCTAAGTACAACATCAAATGCATTTTAAAGTAATTCTAAATGAAAGTAAATTGTTTTTTTTTTTTTTTATCGATTCGTTGTTTGTATTGGCTTAAAAATTCTTTTTCGGACTTTCACCTTTCGCACAGTGAACCCGTGCGCAAATAGCGGTTCATGTTTGCATTTGAACAGACGGGCGGAGCTTACTGTTGTTGTTGTTGGGCTTGTCGACTTGGTCGCTGTCAAACAAGTCTGTTTGGATTATTGACTTGACCGTTGCAAATGGACGACCGACCCCAGGTGCGCTAAATAAATAAATGGGCACACAAAAATTAGAGACGAACAAGATATTTGAATTTGCATGCAAATTGTATGCTTTTGGCGAATTTAACGAGCAACCTTTGTTTATCGATTTCGAAAACGAATATAAAATATTTAGCCATAAAAACTTTTCCCTCGATTCCTCAAATGTAAGAGCAATGCGTTTCGAGAAACGGCTGGGTTGGCCACTAGTGGCTTTACTTGCACAGTTATATTAATATTTGAATAAAATTGCGAGCGCAGAATCCAAGTGTGAATATGGAAGGAAATGCGGATGCGGATGCGAATGCGATTGCGAGTGTGGACGCGGATGGGTTGCAGTGTAATTGGCCAAAGTGAAATTGCGTTAATATTTAACAAGCCAACAGAAGGGCAAAGCGATGAGCGTAACGAGGATCCAGCTTCAGCTAAAGCTGCCTTGGGTGAGAAAAAACGAGGCGAAATTATGCGATAAACGTCGAGGGTCATGAAGAATAAAGCGGCTGAAGTTTAGCGGTTAAATTCAGCCATGGGGACTTTAAATGTTTAAATTATCTCGTAAGGTCACTTGGCAAGCAATCAGGCGAACCCTTAAATGGAAAATTGAATTTACATTTGCGCTAATATGATTTATTCAGCCAATGATTGTGTAATTCAATATATATTCGTCAAATGGCGTATGAGATTTTATGAATTTCGTATTTAATAATTAATTCCAATAAATGCCACATGCTGTTAATTTTATTTTGTATTTATTAATGTCATGTACGAAGAAGAAAAACTCGAAATTTTATTCCGCTGATTAATAAAATTGAATAACGACAATTTTAATTTTGCCGCGTGATTTCTTAATGAACATAATTAATTCTTGAGCATTTTTAACTTAATATACTTATGTATATATTTTTTTATACCCTGGACCCATTGAAATTGGAATATCGGGGATTTGCTAAAGGCAACGTGCTGATCGATTTCGCCCTGAGCGTCTCTTCGTTCCGTCTGTCCGTGTGAATGCGTTGATCTCAGAAGATATACCAGCTAGAGACTAAAAACTTATGGGCATGCTCGTTAATATCTTAAAATCGATAATTATTCGCAGTTTTTGGTTATTGAAAATTAGGTATAAAATCTTTTATCCTTTTTGGCTTACATATTTACTTACATTTTGGCTTACTTGATAGAATCTCCCGTTTTGTTATAATATTAATTTCCCCTAAGTATTTCTTCCAGGCTCTCCCTCTCAGTATTTCTCCTGATTAATTCCTCTTTAATGCAAAGCTGAACGATCACCCATCTCAATTCACTGCACTGCACGACTTCTTCGCACCAGGCCTGACTGAAGACTGAAAAAATGCTGCAGCTCCAGCTCTTTATATAGGGCGAGCCTGAGTCGCGCTCAAATATTATGCCCGGAGAGCCAGGTAGGCGTCGTTTCAGAGAAATTTCTGTGACCATGGGAGCTCTCTCTGCTGCTGCAAGCCTTCTAGCTTCGTTTTACTTCGTTTATGAATACCATATATGTATGTATTGTATACTGATGATCCTCTGTGGTTGTTCTTCACTCCTGCTTTTCTTAGGCAGACAGACGGAGAGAGACAGGTAGACAGTTTGACAGACACAAATACAGACAAACATACGAACAAATACTATATGTAGGCAAACAAAGACGTATAGTTAAATCATTTCGCTGTTCAAGAATATATATATACATATATTATAAATGTTGATAAGCTAGATAGCTTATGCTCATTAATAATATATAATTCGAAGGCATAGGCAACAGTTTGTTCTCTTAGGGACTGGGACTCCCTTATAGTTTTACTATTCCATCACATGCTCTTTTTTCAAGGATTTATTATCAATAGGCCAATAGATTTCTTTCAAATAGGGTAGATCTAGGTAGATCCGGAAATAGGATAAACTGGCAACAATGATTGCAGCATATGTATGTGTGCATATGTTGTTTCTCGAGCAAGCTGAGAAAACGAAGGAATATTGAAATATCAGTCCCTTGAGGGGTTCAGGGGATCTCATAATCGAGCAGAAAAAGCTCTAGTCGACGCATTCTTACTTGTTATGTATATGTACATGTATATGTATGTATATACGTATGTATATACATATGTTTTTATAATTTTTATAAATTTAACTTACGTAGCCCTCTATTCAATATTAAATTAGAGACGATAGAAAATTCGTATAATTATGATTGGTTGCGAACAAAGAGAACAATTTGGTGGGACAGAGAGAGAGATAGAGAGACAGAGAGAGAGAGAGAGAGAGAGAGAGAAAGAGAGAGAGGGAGAGAGAGAAAGAGAGGGAGACAGGGGGGGATAGAGAAGGCGAAAGACAGTGTGACAGATAGTGGCCGACAGATGAAAACGAGAATTTAATTCAAAGAAAATGTTACAGAAATATTTATGAATGCGAAATCAACTTTTTTTTTAAAGGTGAGCGGCGCAAGCACACAATAGAAGCTTCGTTCATTTGGGTTGGGGTGGGACGCGGAATGACGTGACCATTTGTCTGCTCGAAAGGAATGCGAACGAGCGCATGCAAAAGGTCAAACTGCCAGGGGATTCTGAATTGGATCTCGGACAAGGCACAGAGCGGGGCCGACTGTCAGCCAATTGTTAGTTTGTGTTTGTTGAATGGTGCGAAATAAATAAAGACGATTTTCAGCTGCTCTTGACGGGCTATTGAGCAGCGCAAGGAAATGGAAAGCGGCGACAGCAAGGTGCTTTAGCTAAGGGTCGATCAGGTGAGTCCGAAAAACACGATTTATACATTTGGGCATACGCTTTAGTGCATTATAAAAGCAAGTGTTTTGCTATTCAATGATTTATATATATGGGTCAGCATAAAAGCTGGAATCAAAATAACAAAGATGACGCAGCTCCAGCGAGAGCAACAATTTGCAATTTGCATATGTATGTGGAGCAGCATCATTGTCAACTCCCCAGGAAGCAGAGAATGGAGATAAATACATGCCTCAGTGCACCTCAACGAGATTAAAAGCTAAATAAAGACGACGACAAAAAGAAATTAAATATATTCAAAGCTTAAGAAAACTGCCAGCCAACTGACGACCTTGAGCCAAGGGCTGTGGGCCGAGCGCTGCGGGCTGTGGGCATGTCCTGATGTGAGCTTTCTTTGTGGATGTTGTTGTTGCTGTTACAATTTGCACCGCAGGCATTCGAAAGTCAATTTTAATTTAATTTCTTGTTCGGGGCGTGCATGACAAATAAGAAGAGCCAGCCAACCAGGCCAGCCACAGGCCTACACTGCCTGCCAACAGCTAATGTCCCCCTTCATATTTTGGGATTGCAAATCAGGCGCTGTTCATTTAACTTAATATTCCGTCTGCATCTCTTAATTTCGATAATTCGAAATGACAATGCTTCATAGGTCAGTTAATAAAGCTCAGCAAACTCATTAATTTGATGTCCACTGAGAGAATCACTCACACACAGACACCGTTGTTAACTCTGTTATTAATTTATGGTCAGCAGACACAAACATAATTAATATGCGACCGGAGTATGTGCATGATGTGAGTCGTCCAGCATCCATCACATGATAAGAATGTCAGAGGTCAACGACATTCCACAATCGATACTTAAAGCAACAAAGATATTGTGGCATTTTCATTGGAATTACCAAACTTTAATTGGAATTTTCCGTCACAGAGAAAAATGTATAATAGAGTATTTAATGCTTTTTATGGCCATATGGAAATTTCCAATTTAAGTCACTTAAATGTTTGTAAATTTCTTAAAGTTCCATCAGTCGACTTCAGCTAGCCATACGCAATCGATGTTGGAAAAGGTTATTAAAAATGTTAAAGTGAAATAATATATATATGCTTGATAATTAAGTAAAAGAAAACCTATATATTATTTTGAATAATATAAACTATATTCTTATGCATCTTAACTGAAACTCGCATACTCGTTTTTATTAACCTCTCAAAATTTGTATATACGTTATAATATAATATATATTAATTAATAATAATGAATAAAAATATATATATTCGTTTTTATTTTTGTTATTAATCGGTACCCGTCAATATGCAGATAAGTCTGCTATAGGTAAAATAAAATAATTGAAATTTTATATAAATATTTGCTGCTTTGACTAAGTACTAGCATTGTCAAAATAAATAAAAATTATATTAATTTTTTAAATTATTGTATATGAACTCATAATAAATGAAATAATTTATAAATAACTAATTATTTAATAATTTAATTTAATTAAGTACAATAATCGTTTTTCCATGCTTTAAGGAATATAACATCATCATATCATCCATGTACAATATCCATCTACAGTTGAATCCGATTATTACGCTCAACGCACCGTCGTTATAGCCGGAAGACGTTTGTCTGGGGGATTCTCGTCACAATAACCGAACGAACGTTATATAGCGTTATAGTATATATATAAACAAAGTTGTTATAACCGGATTCTATTGTATCTATGTATGGATAGGATATCAAAAGTGAGCCTCCTAGCTATACTTGGCTCTAGCTCTATACCTGTTAGCCATTTTCCATTTTCCCAAGCTGACTATAATCATTCTTTTGTCAACCTTTAGACCAATTCTCCATGTTCATAATGAGCAGAGTAATTCAGCCTAAATATGTTTATTTTCCTTTTGTGAACGATTCTAAAAACTTTTTGCATATCCATGCTTTCGCCTAACAAGTTGAATTGAATTTGATTTAAATGAAAAATTAGATATTTGGTTTAGCCATTAAAATTTGGCTTATACATATTTCAACAAATTACATTACAAATTGTTCTGCTCTGTGTGCGAGTGTGTGCCTATGTGGATATTTGTGCTTGTGTGTATTGTGTGTGATTTTGATTTTGGGCAACGTGTGAAAGAGGCGAAGTCATGAGCGGCGAATTATTTGATGGAGGCCAGACAAATTACCGCGTGCTGTGTTTTGTGCTCGCTTCAGCCATGGTAGATTGCCTGAGCGTGGAAAGCACAATATCATTTATCACAGAGGCAACAACAAGAACAACATATACAACAACACGAGACGCATTAAATTGCTACAAAGTCATCGCGCAGATGAATACGCCGTTCACGCAGAGATGAAAGGAGCAAAGGACATGCAACTTTTGCTTGTTATAAATTCAATTTTTCACGTCTCAAGGAGCTCCAAAGCTGCTGTGCTGTTCGGCCAGGCACATGCCTCGTAATTACACGAGATTCTGGCAGACGGGGCAGCCCGAAAGCAAATTGAAATGTTTGCCTTGGCTTTGGCCCGATTTCAGTCGTTTTCCTTTCTTTATTTTTATTTTTGTTTTTATTTTTATTTGTATTCTATTTTTACTTGAGGGTTGCGTGCTCGCGAGTTCTCTGGCCAGCTTTATGGCCAGCAATTAAGACTGAAGTGCGCGGCCCGCCGCCGAAAATAGGCAACACTTTCGCACATATGCCGTGCTCTCCGCCATTAATCAAGAGAGCGTCGGCTGCTGCTGCTGCTGTCCAAGCCCTACTAGAGGACGTCAGTAATGACCCTTAAATTGCCTGTTACACGGCAATTGTAATGAGATCGAAATGTACGGCCAAATAAATCATGAAATATACTCACTCCTATATATGAGGTATACAAAATATATATTTTCAACAGCAACGTCAAACAAGGATGCTTGTTTGCTCTACCAACATCAACAAATTGGACGATTGTTCGTCAGCCTGAGGCTCAGCCATTGTCATTGTTATTGGCATTGGGGATCCCATTGCCATTGCCATTGTGTCGCACTCATTGGGCAGAGTTGCCCGTTTGTTGGTTTCTCATTAAAATTATTGTAGCCGTTTTATGCGCATGCAAAAATGCGGTTTATTGAATTATTTTTGCGAATTTTTCTTTCCTCTTTGTTTCGGGCCAAATTGAAAATACCAGTCGAAAGTATGTGATTGACGACAAAACCCGTCGAAAATAGAAGCCCGCTGCGTGTTTTGTTTTAGGGATTCGCGCATCGCAACTTTGAGGTTTACAGAATTTAGTAATCGGTACTTTGAGAGTTGCAAATTGCAAATTTGAAATGAATCTGATCAAATTTAAAATTTGAATTCAATAGAAACTACAAGATTAATAAACAGTCCATAGGGGCATGTTTAAAGCTGTTTAGGTTTTTATTTACATATTCTAGATTTAAGATTACCAAGGTGGTAATTGATATACTCGGATGCTCTTAAAAAGAAAAATAAATCGACTTGATTGACTGATTTTTACAGTAGGAAAGTGTTTTTAAAAATACTATGCTCTCTTGGTACTGCACCATATGAAATTGAGCTAAAAAAAAAAAAAAAAAAAAACAGTTGTCAATACACAGTTTTGTACAACGTTAGCTGACACTCATTTACTGTTGTATAGCGAAT